TTTTAGTCAACCTTTCTTGGGAAGAAAACAAGGTAGTTAAGCAAGATTTATCTTTTAAAAAAGTTAATCGATTTCTTTTCATAAATTTTAAACTTGTAAGGCATTACACAAATCCATAAATGTAAAATTGCATAGAACTATACACACATACACACAAATAAGTGCACTTAAAACTGGTAAAATCTGAATAAGGTCTATCAACTGTATCAGTGTCAGTGTCCTGGTTTTGATAGTACATATGATGGTATGGTACCATTGGGGGAAACAGGGTGAAGGGTGCATATAACCTCTCTGCAACTTCCTGTGAATCTATAATTATTTCAAAATAAAACTTAAAAGACTCATAAGGCAAATAAAAGAAATTTCTGTTAGATAACTGATTTATGCCAAAATGGGATTTGATTTTTCTAAAGGTAGGCTCAGGAGATGTAATTGATTTTAATTAATATTATGTGCAATATGAAAATTAACTGGCAATATTGAATAGTAAAGCTACTGAAATCGTAAACCAAAATGATATGAATAAAAATATAACCTAGGGGCTTCCCTGGTGGTGCAGTGGTTAAGAATCCGCCTGCCAATGCCTGGGACACAGGTTTGAGCCCTGATCTGGGAAGATCCCACATGCCGCGGAGCAACTAAGCCCGTGAGCCACAACTGCTGAGCCCGTGTGCCTAGAGCCCGTGCTCTGCAACAAGAGAAGCCACCGCAATGAGAAGCCTGTGCACCGCAACTAGAGAAGGCGCTTCCGCGCGCAGCAATGAAGACCCAGCACAGCCAAAAATAAATAAAAAATTAAAAAGTATATATATATATATATAACCTAGGACACAATTTTATACAAGGCTTTAAAATATTTTCTCATGGAGTAACAATCAGCTCCAATATAGATCTAGCAATTATAAAATCATTATATACTTGTGTTGGTTTCTTGAGCTCTTTCATTGGCCTATATAAGCATTAAAATGTTTTTATAACTAAAATGGAACAGTGGAATTTGTCCCTTTAGTATGAAACATGTGCTTGTTTTATTTTGTTGCACAATAGTCAATTCTGGTTTAGATTTAAGCACACATGGATTTCATTTCATTTTCATTCAGATAAAATGGAATTATTTTTGTCCTTGCTCTTGGTTGCTTGTTAAGTAAGAAAACGCTTATTCATGTTATGTAAGAAGTTGGCAAGTACCAACAAAATGTTCATGTTCGTTGTAGATTACTCTTCTTTCATAGAAATCTAGAACTTTTGTAGGGGCAGATCAGTAAATCTCACCTTGAGTATACTCTCATACTACACTGACTGAATTCTTCAAAGTGAAGTTCTCAGGCTGAGGAGAAGATTCAGAGAAAAGATCCCTCACCCAGTAATACACTTGAGTTGAAAGGGAGGGAAAATTACTGTTAAGTGTTGTTCTGCAGTTTTTCGAGGTGGCTTTTAATAAAGCTTGAAACTTACTGATATTCTTTCCTCACTCTGAACCCAAACGGTAGTGGAAACATTTTTAAGATTTCTTTCAAAGATTATTTCCTCTTAAAACCATTTACATTTATTATTATCTTTATGTTATTTTTTACTTAGAAAATGACAAGAATATTATAGCGTAATAAGAAAGGATTAATTTAAGATTAGTGTTTTATAATTCTGGACACCTGTCCTAGAGTTGACGATCAAGCTAGCTGGTTCTTACCGTGGTTTAATGTAAGACAGCTGTGCTCCTGGAGTGACCACCCCCCCCCCCTTTCTTTTTTTTTTTAATATTTCTCATTGTTTTCCGACATTATTTTTTACCTGTTAGCATGATCACATGTTAGGCTAACTACTGAGTTTTTTTACTTTTCTGTTTTTTTTTTTTTGGCTGTATGCGGGCCTCTCACTGTTGTGGCCTCTCCCGTTGTGGAGCACAAGTTCCGGACGCGCAGGCTCAGCGGCCATGGCTCACCAGGGAAGCCCTTCTGTTGCTTTATTTTTTTAATTTTTTTTGCGGTACGCGGGCCTCTCACTGCTGCGGCCTCTCCCTTTGCGGAGCACAGGCTCCGGACGCACAGGCCCAGCGGCCATGGCTCACGGGCGCAGCCGTTCCGCAGCACGTGGGATCCTCCCGGACCGGGGCACGAACCCGCGTCCCCTGCATGGGCAGGCGGACTCTCAACCACTGCGCCACCAGGGAAGCCCAGTTGCTTTATTTTTAACACATGTAATTGTGTCTTGGGGGAACTGGATGATTTGTCAGACTGCTGTTTCTAGCATTCTCCTACATATGTCCATGATATCTTCCTTCTTTGCATAGAATGGAAAACACTACAAAATTATAAGCTAAAGGTGTCTTTTCGAGGTTCTACATCCCTGCTATGAAAAACTCCTAAACATATACAATTCTTTCTCACAGCACTCCTTAGCACTATAATTTATATATCCTTTTTTGGTTTAGATTAAGGACTTTAACTGCAGTCTTTTCTAGAGGCCAGGAAACAGTTGTTAAGGTCCTTTCCTGCCTTATAATTCCAAAACCTTTAATGTCACTGCTATACTAATGACTTCCTGATCTAAGTTTTCCTCTTTTTAAATCAAGAAAGGCACTCTTTGTACCTGTTGGAAGTAGAATTTTAGTTAAGTTTCAACTCTTTCATTTTCAACTTAGAGTAAGACAAGCAGAAAGTAATTTTGAGAGAATATTTTAATCAGAAGATTCTATGGCAATTAGCATCTATAGGGACTATTTTTAAGCTTTAAGTAGGGAAGGACAGTGAATTCAAAAGTACTTGCATTTTATCTCTAGCTGAATAAACTAAACTATAAAAGCTTTTTAGAATCATGTAATGTTAAACCTGGAAAGAACTTTGAATAGGAAGCTGGAGACCAGAAGGCATTAGTGATTTGCTGTATTAATTAGTAGCTTAGCTAGGACTTAGCTTCAGAATGCAAACTTTATTATAATTAATTGCAGGAGTTGTCAGAACCAGATCATTATGTGACTCATAATTGATCCACTCACTGATTGAAGCTTAAGCCAAAATTTTTTAATGGCAGTTCTCAAAAGCTAACCTAGAATTTAGGGTAATGTGCAAATTAAGCTTCCTTCTACTGTATAGGATCTCCAGGAAAGGAGAGTCTGTGTTGAGTGTTCTGGTTTGCTGTTGCCGAAATTGTTTTCTAAAGTATCACTCCAGTCTTTTGACTCCTAGTTAACAACATTGATGGTTGTTTACTAGTGCATGTTGTCTGGTCCTACAAATGTGTTTTTTTATTAATTCCTGTATGACCTCAAGCAAGTCCTTTACTATTCCCAATTTTTTTTCGACCAGAAATTTTGACATATGTACTACTGTGATTATCTGTAACCTGTAAGGCACTGGTACAGACTGTGAGTGGAATTTATTTTGTAATGTGGATAACAGAGTCTCTTCACTGCTTTTTTTTTTAATCTATGTAAATTTATTTATTTATTTTTGGTTGCGTTGGGTCTTCGTTGCTGCACGCGGGCTTTCTCTAGTTGCGGCAAGCGGGGGCTACTCTTTGTTGTGGTGTGCAGGCTTCTTATTGCGGTGCCTTCTCTTGTTGCAGAGCATGGGCTCTAGGCATGCGGGCTTCAGTAGTTGTGGCATGCGGGCTCAGTAGTTGTGGTGCACGGGCTCTAGAGCACAGGCTCAGTAGTTGTGACGCACGGGCTTAGTTGCTCCGCAGCATGTGGGATCTTCCTGGACCAGGACTCGAACCCGTGTCACCTGCATTGGCAGGCAGATTCTTAACCACTGCACCACCAGGGAAGCCCTTCACTGCTTTTTAGAATTGACCTAAAAAAACCCAACAACCTTTATTTTGCCAAAACTAAAGATAAATGATGTAATTGTATAAAGAAAAAAGTTAGCTGAAATAGTAGGAAACTCTTACTAGTCAGATTTATCCAAAACTAAGCATTAATATATGAGGCACTTAGCATAGATATTTAGTTTTAAAAGAAATAATGTATGAATAAATATATGAAAAAGTAAGGGAAGTTATCTGCGGTTTTCCTTTAGCAAATAATTATGTCTAATGGTTTGTATATATAAATATGTAATGCCTTTAAAGAGAATTTATACATCACTTTGTTCTGAAGCACATAATATACATAATAATGAAGGGACTCCAAAATGATATCCTGTTGAGAGTTCCTGGGGATCCAGTGGTTAGGACTCCGTGCTTTTGCTGCCGGGCCTGGGTTCAGTCCCTGGTCGGGGAACTAAGATCCCGCAAGCCTCGCAGTGCAGCCAAAACCAAACCAAACCCAACCAAACAAACAAAAAAAACAAAGTGATATCCTGTAATATATTTTGTATATATCTTCCATTTAAATTTTAAAGTTACAGTTATAAGTCTAGGTTCTGGTACAAGGCTAGCTAGTTAGATGTGAAACCTTTCATGTGAATTCACCTCTCTTGTTTTCGTTTTCTTGTTGTAAAAATAAAAAGTGGTTTTTAGATATCATTACTGAAAAAAAATTCAACTGAGTAACTTTTAAAGATTTTGTTGGCTTATTCAGTGATACATGAAATGGGCAGCATTCCAATCTGCAGGTAGAAAGGAGCTCTGAGGAGCTGTACAAAATGAAAGACTTTAGGCAGAAGGAAGTGGGACAAGGAAGTTATACTAGCTAAAAGTGGATTAGTTATGGCAAGGTCACTTTCCTTTAGGAGATTGCAGGGGTCTGTCAGGCACATTACTTCACTAGTGCTGACCAGGTGATTCCTGATTCACTAGTTTAAGGTTCTGTTTCTGGGAGAGGCCAAAACTGTAATTAAGTCTTGGTTTGGTGACATGAGACTTAGCATAAGTGACTCCATTTTGGGCCTGCTGTCTTGTTTTTATCACTGTCAACTATAAAATACAAAGATTGTATACAGTAGCAGATGTTCATATGTAGAGATCTTCAAGTGATAATTATTTAGTTGGATATATGCTCGTGTTGGTTAGGATTCACACATTTTACCTTGGTTTATAGTTTTGTCCTCTTTTCTCTTTAGATCTCAGTGGTTCAATAGCATCCCCAGATGTCAAGTTAAACCTTGGTGGAGATTTTATCAAAGAGTCTACAGCTACTACATTTCTGAGACAAAGAGGATATGGCTGGCTTTTGGAAGTTGAAGATGATGACCCTGAAGATAACAAGCCACTCTTGTATGTAAAAATAATATATATTTTTTGGTTTTTAGAGCTAGTCTGTGGGATGATTGTATTTTTTCATATTATTTAAGACAGGTATAGAAAATCTTAACCTTTTTGGTCAAAAGTTTTAGCTATTTTCAGTTTTACTATTATAGTTGACCCTTGAACAACACAGGTTTGAACTGTGTAGGTCTACTTGTACATAGATTATTTTTAATACATACATTGGGAATTTTTTTTGAATTTGCAACAATGTGAAAAAACTCGCAGACGAACCATGTAGCCTAGAAGTATCGAAAAAATTAAGAAAAAGGTATGTCATGAATGCAGAAAGTATATGTAGATGTACATGTAACATATAAAATATATGTTAATCAACTGTTTATGTGATTGGGAAGGCTTCTGGTCAACAGTAGGCTTTTAGTTAAGTTTTGGGGGAGTCAAAATTATATGTGGATCTTTGAGGGTGGTACCCATAACCCCCACGTTGTTCAAGGTCAACTGTAACTAGTAAAACTGAAATAATGAGAGAATATTTTTAACCTACTGAATGGCAAAAGTTAAAAGAATCATAATCCTATATCACACACAAATATACTCCAAACTGTTAGGACTTACCTGGGTCTATAGATATCTGAAGTGAACATACAATGTAAGTAAAAAAGCAAGGTGCTTGGGTGCGTGCTGTGGAAGTTCAGTTTAAGATTTCCAAAAAGATTACCCCTCCAAACTCTCTCCTATGTAGAAATTCTAGAGCTACCACTGGGAGGACTATAGGGATACTTTCACTTTCTTCATAGTACTTGAAAATTTTTAAGTGATTATGTATCATTTGGGGAAAAAAGGTGAAGAATTTAACAATTTTGGAAAGAAGAACCTATAGCTTTGTAAAATCGAGGTATTACCAAGTTATTCTCTGTAGTAATTATTGGTAGATCAAGTGCTAAAACATCCTGTTTCTTAACTGTTAATATACCGAATTTCATCAAATCTAAGATGGTATGGATTATAAGATGCAGTTATTTCACGTTTATTGATAAAACAGAAAAAGTACCTAAGACAGCATAAAGCTAGGACATCAAAGGGGCTATCTTATCTCCTTAGTGTAAGGATAAATGAGAAATAACCTACCATACAAAGAGAGACAACAAGGAAGTTTGCTTGTCTGTTTGGCACTGGGTGGGGTGTTGGAAGAAAAAGTGTCTGTGAGAATATAGGATTGCAGCCTGATTTATCAGTACGGTCCCAAAAAGTCTCAAGCAGAGAATTTTATTTAAAGTCCCAAGTTGATAGTGCCTCCAGGAGACTGGCAAAAGGAAAGGCAGATCTTGGAAGCACTTGGCTTCACTCCAGACTGACAGCAGTTGTAAGACACCAGCTATTGTGAGATGCATCCCAACTTTAGAGATGTTGAAATGATAAAAATGTTCATCATGGAACCAGTGAAATGTGGTACTTCAAATGCAAATGTTTTGTTGATCTGTGGTGACTGTAATGTTATATTTAAACTTTTCTTAAATTCTGCTGCAACTGTCTCAGTATTCAGAAGTGTGTGCTTTTTAAGAATTCTTATTTTAAAATTATAGGGAAGAATTGGATATCGACCTAAAGGATATTTACTACAAAATTCGATGTGTTTTGATGCCAATGCCATCACTTGGTTTTAATAGGCAAGTGGTGAGAGACAATCCTGACTTTTGGGGTCCTCTGGCTGTTGTTCTTTTCTTTTCCATGATATCATTATATGGACAGTTTAGGGTAAGTATATCTTACTTTTCACAAATTCTAAATAGTTTAAGAGTTTTAAAATTGAAAATAGCCAAATATTAACTGTAGTACTTCATGTTTGAGAAATGCTTTAGCTTTACCCATTATTTCTCACTTGTTTATCCCTACAAGCTGTTCTTAATTAAATAAGTGGGGAGTGCCTTGGATTAATGATTTCCAAACTCTTCTACATCATCATTCTCATAAAAAGTATTAGTATTTGTATGGCAAGTGGGTAAAATGGTTGGGACTGCTCCCAGCTGCCCATACCCTTTCTGATTTCTCCAAAGGATAAAGAGTTTGAAACACAATACTCATGTTCTTATCTTTTATTCATTTTTAGTTCTGTTTTTTAAAGTAAGCTTCTTAATAAATGATGACAAGAATTCCATCCGTTTTTGTTTTTATATAATACTTTGTCCTATTCTCAGAGGCTTTATCTCTATCATCAAAATACGGCACATGCATATCATTCCCTCATCCCTAGTTTAAGGCTTTAGGGGAGTAAAAAATAACTCTTTACCACAGAGTGATTTGGAAATGAATTAGTTTCCTTTTGTACTATAACATATTTCCACAAGTTTAGTGGCTTAAAACAATGCAGATTTATTCTTTGACAGTTCTGAAAGTCAGAAACCCAAATTGAGTCTTAAAGGGCTAAAATCAAAATGTCAGCAGGGCTGGTTCTTCTGGAGGCTCCAGGACAGTCTGTTGCTTGCCTCTTCCCATGTCTGGAGGCTGCCAACATTCCTTGACTTCTGGCTGCATCACTGCAATCTGTTTCCATTTGTCACATTGCCTTCTCTACTGTAGTCAAATATCCCTCTGCCTCCTTTTTTAAAGGACAGTTGTGATTACATTTAGTGCTCACCAGATAATCCAGAGTGTTCTCTCCATAGCAAGACCCTTAACGTTATATAATACTGGTCCTATTAATATTTACCTTGGATCAGTAGTTCATATCAAGTATTCTGTTGCAAGTATAAGGACCATTGAAGAAGTTGAATGGGGGTCTGGTCTCCTACCCACCACCAACCCTTCATGTAGAACATCTCTATATGAATTTTATCTATTTTATATAATCTTTCATTTGAACAAAGTGTTCTAAGGCTAAAAACAGAAGATTCTTATCTCCATAGAATGTTTCTTTGTCATTACTTAATCATTTATTTTTGTCAGTATGGACTCATGGATATTTATTTTATTTTCTGGACTATAATACAGTACTGTCATTTATTTTATTGCTCAGATTGTTGCAGTTTTAGCCATTGGGAGCGCCTTCAGGTTAGCTCCTGTATCCTTTTGACATATCCCCATCTTCTTTGAGTACTTCCTTTCTTTCTGACTCCACAGAGTGTTCTGGGCTCACCTTTTATTGTCCCTGTCCCAGCCCAGAATCAGTCATTTTTCTAGGGAGTCCTAGTGCCTTTTGGGGAATATTTAGAAACCAGGATCTGGGCAATAAGTGTGCTTATGTTGCTACTGGGTGTCATTATTTCTAGACCCCCCCAAGCAGACAGAACTTGGAAATATATGCATGCATCATTACTATGTCAAGTCTCAGGAGTTAAAATTGTGTGAAGTATCGTCCACATTCTACTACTTGGATAAATGTGTAATTAATGTAAATTTTAGAGACCTCTTGAGAAGACTGGTAACTTGTTTCACAGATGAATTTACCTTCCAAAATGCTATGAAGCAGGGGTTGGGAGTCAACAGTTTGGTCTTTCTTTGCAGTTCTTTTATTATAGATCATAAAATACTAAGGTTTCCTTAGGCAATTTATCATTGCTAAATTTTCAGTTTGGATGTAAAATTACATTACACATTTATATTCTTATTAAGTTTTACCTGGGAACCCAAACTCTCTATGACCTGAAGTTGGGTATACCAAAATATATGGTAGAGGATTGAGTTCGTGGGAAATTATCAGCTTATTTGGTACACAGATATTAACTGCGTGAATTTTTTTTCTCTTAAGGTGGTCTCATGGATTATAACCATTTGGATATTTGGTTCATTAACAATTTTCTTACTGGCCAGAGTTCTTGGTGGAGAAGTAAGTGGTTAATTTTGAAAATAGCCTTTGTTTTTTATGGTAAGCTTTATTTTTGATACTGCAGGTAGTATCAGTAGCTATGTTCATTGTAACTGCTTTTTGTCCCAGAATTGCTTTTAAGTTATGCTACTTCTTTTAAGGTGATGTAAATATTAGTATAAATGTTATGAGAAATAAAGAGGAAAGAAAATCCAATTTCACTCATAAATAATGTATAGCTTTTTAGGGAAGCATGCAATTTATTCTCTGTTACAGCAGTTCTCAAACTTTTTGATCTCAGGTCCCCAAAGAGATTTCTTTCTGTAGGTTGTATTTATTGATATTTACCATGTTAGAAATTAAAATAAAAATTTTAAATATATATTTATTCATTTAAAACTAAAAGTAAATCAAATACATTTTAACATAAAAAATACATTTTAATGAAAACTATTTTTCAAAACAAAGTGAGAAAAAGGTATTGTTTTACATATTTGCAAGTAGCTTTAATGTCTGGGTTAGTGGAAATTGTATTCTAATATCTGCTTTCTGCATTCAATTGTTACGCTATATTTTGGTTAAAGTAAAAAATAAGGCCTCACACAGGTATATAATTTTAAAAGGAAGAGTATTTTAATACATGTTTTGGATGATTATGATTATTCTACTCTGATACTACATCAACACTCAACAAGTAATATTTTCTTAAAGGTTTGTTGTAGTGAGGAATCTCAAGCCATATCAGTGAACTTTTTATACGCTGTATCATTGAAATTCACTTTGGATGGATCTTTTTACCCATGCATGATCTACTAAGAAAACATTAGTTCCCTGAGCTTTGTAGATCTTCCAAATGTTGACTCATTTTTATTATACAATGTCAGAAAGTCACATTCATTAGTATCACCACCTATTTCATCAGAAAAATCTGTATTGGAAAACTATCAAGATAAGAGTGTTGGATACAAGTTTTCCAAAATTCTACTTTTTGCTTGAGAGAAATTTTGTAATTTGGAAGAAATACTGTCAGTTTTCCTTGAAATAATAGGCTCACTTCATTCATTTTCATTCATGTTGCCTGTCAGTACCTAACTCTGAATAATCATAGTTTGTCTTTCAGTTGTTCTTTCAAGTAAAAGTGGTATTCTATGGATAAAGCATCTAATTCAACTCTTCACTCACACAGTTGTACAAATGCTCTTCCTTGGGATAACTATTGAATCAAGATACAGAAGAAATGCTTTCTGTGTACTTCTCATTTTGTTACACAGAATATTAAAAAGACATATTCAAAGGTTGAGGCTTAATAAAATTAATCATTTTAACTGCTTCATTAAGGACATTCTTAAGTGAAACTGGCTTTTTTTCTTCTTTTCCTGTGAGTGTGGGGTAGTAAAGAACACAGTAACTACTAGTATGTTTCATGCCACCTTATTTGTGCTAAAGCAGCATGTTTTACCCATTGCTTTTGTTCTATTAGTACCAATATCAACCCAATTAAAAAGGCAAATAATATTTTATTACTATTATAAAAAATAGTTTTGTGGGTTTTTTTTTTTTTTTTTTTTTTTGCGGTACGCGGGCCTCTCACTGTTGTGGCCTCTCCCGTTGCGGAGCACGGGCTCCGGACGTGCAGGCTCAGTGGCCATGGCTCACGGGCCCAGCCGCTCCACGGCATGTGGGATCTTCCGAGACCGGGGCACGAACCCATGTCCCCTGCATTGGCAGGCGGACTCTCAACCACTGCGCCACCAGGGAAGCCCTGGGTTTTTTTTTTTAAGTTTTATTTATTTTATTTTTTTTCCGTGCCTTGCGGCATGTGGGATCTTAGTTCCCCGACCAGGGATTGAACCTGTGCCCCATGCAGTGGAAGCGTGGAGTCTTAACCACTGGACCGCCAGGGAAGTCCCCTATTACAAAAAATAGTTTTGACGTTCCAGTCTTTAAGAGTCTCTGGGACCCCCAGAGGTCCATGGGTCACACCTTGAGAATCACTGCTCCATTAAATTAGACTTTATGAATTACTATAAACCTAGGAATTCCAGCACTCTGGAATTCAACTCTCTGTGAAGAGGGTAAATCACAAGGGATGCCAGGCGGAGTTACTATATCATGTGGGTGCTGACTCATATCAGGCTTACTCTATGAACACTGAATGCTAAATGCAGAACTCTTGAGCCTTTTTCTCATACTTGGTGGAAAGGTCTCCACCAAGCTCTTGTTCTTCTGCTTTCCAGTTTCCAAAATTAAGTTGCTCTTGTCCTGTCTTCTAATCTCCTGTTTATGCTTCTTATAAAAAGGAGTTTCCTTTTTTCCTTCCCTTTTAATGGAGTTTCAGGAAGGAATGGTATTAGATATATGCACTCAATCCATCATCTTAACTTAAAACTCTTGAATAAATGTAGAATAACATTTATCTATGTAATTTTATCACTCTGCTTATGAAAATTTAAAATAATTCTAACAGCGACATTTGTTTGCATATTATTTCTTACATTCTAGACAAAACCTCATATAATTTTTATGTGAAAAAAGGTATCACTAAATGTTTTGGTAATTTAGTACTGTTGATAGAGAAGTTAAAAGACCTAGATCTTAATTTGAACTCTTACCAACTAGCTTTGCTTTCCTGAACAAAGCTCTTTGTCTCTCTGGAATCACTTTCTTCATAATGGGGACAGTAATACCACATAGGGTTGTTAGTGCCTTTGATCTTCACGATATGTGAAGCTCTATCACGGAGTGTGGCACACGGTAGCCACTAAAAAATATTTCTCTCTTCAGTCCTCCTACCTTCTCTCCCTTCCCTTCTAGTCTGCATTTGTCACATCTAGCTTCTCTAGACTTGAATTTTTCATCAAAATAAGATGGTTGTGGTTCCTTTAAATAATCCTCCTACAACAAGGGAAATAGTGACTAAGAGATATACTCAAGGTAATTGGATATATAAGTCTGAAGCTCAAAAGAGAGAGGGCAGGAAATGTAGATTTGGGTATTATCAGAATTGATAATTGAAATCACGGTGGGTTGTTGACCTTGTCCACGAATATGAGACTATATGATAATATGAAATACAATGGGTATGATACTTTTTTCTTAATTCTCACCTTTATGTAAGTACAGCAAAGTATATATGATGTTTAATAGTGGTTAAAATAAGTATCTTGATTTCTGTGATATTTATTTAACATTTTGAAAATTCACAGGTTGCATATGGCCAAGTTCTTGGAGTTATAGGATATTCATTACTTCCTCTCATTGTAATAGCCCCTATACTTTTGGTGGTTGGATCATTTGAAGTGGTGTCTACACTTATAAAAGTAAGTAGTGTGTTATAAAAAGTAGTTTACTGTTTCCCAGTAAAAAAAAAAAAGTATACAGTTGTCACTCCGTATCCACGGGAAACTCGTTCTAGGGCCCCCCGCAGACAAGAAAATCTGCAGATGCTTAAGTTCCCTATACAAAATGGTGTAGTATTTACATGTAACCTGTGCATATCCTTCCATCTGCTTTAAATCATCTCTAGATTACTTACAATACCTAATACAATGTAAATGCTATATAAATAGTTGTCTGTAGTGCAGCAAAGTCAAGTTTGGCTTTCTGGAACTTTCTGGAATTTTTTCTTCCCCCCAAATATTTTCGATCCACAGTTGGTTGAATCCGTGGATGCAGAACCCATAGGTAATAAGAGCTGACTGTACTAGTTCTCTGGCTAAGAATCTTGTAATCTATAACTGTTTATCAAACAGTTCGTAGTGTTTTGGAACAGTGACCTTACTCACTAATTATACCAGTTGTATTTCTTTTATTTTCCCCTTTTAATTGCCATAAATTATAATGTATGTCTAGGGCAGAATAAAGAACAAAGAGCAAATCAGACCTTGGGGTATTACACTCAGAGAATTTTTTAATTTAATGTTAAAATTTTCTTCTAGTTCATCTGACTTAGATTTTGTGGGAGGTATTTATTTAAAATTCCACTGGCTCAAAAGGACACCTGTACCCCAATGTTCATTGCAGCACTATTTACAGTAGCCAGAACATGGAAACAACCTAAATGTCCAACGACAGATGAATGGATAAAGATGTGGTACATATGTACAATGGAATATTACTCAGCCATAAAAAAGGAACGAAATTGGGTCATTTGTAGAGATCTGGATGGACCTAGAGTCTGTCATACAGAGTGGAGTAAGCCAGAAAGAGGAAAAAAATATCGTATATTAACGCATATATGTGGAATCTAGTAAAATGGTACAGATGAACCTATTTGCAGGGCAGGAATAGAGACGTAGATGTAGAAAATGGACATGTGGATACAGGTGTGGAAGGGGATGGTGGGACGAATTGGGGGATTAGGATTGACATATGTACACTACCATGCGTAAAATAGATAGCGGGAACATTCTATAAAGCACAGGAAGCTCAACTTGATGCTCTGTGATGACCTAGATGGGTGGGATTGGGAAGGGGGGTGGGAGGGAAGTCCAAGAGGGAGGGGATATAGGTATACATATAGCTGATTCACTTCATTGTACAGCAGAAACTAACACAACATTGTAAAGCAATTATACTCCAATAAAAAAAAAACCTCACTAAAAATAAATAAAATAATATTCCACTGGGACTGGACATTTATTTAATAATTGTCACTCATATTTGAATAGTAAGTTCTTTATCAAATATATATATGGTTCTAATAAATTGGCTTTTCTGTGTTGCAGAGATCAGGACTTCTTTGTGCTGTGTTAAGCTTATATTAACATATGTACCCACTTTAAACATTTACTGATAATATTAAATATTAATGAGTAGTGATTGAACTTAAATTTTGGCATTTATTAATTTTGAACAACTTTTGGAAATAAATGACCACTCTAACACATGTATGTATATTACACAGTGAATATAATCTTCTTTCTTTATGAAAAATAGAACTTCGACTTAAATTTTTAAGTAGAGTAACTTTTATGAGTTTTGGTTTTACTTAAAGTTTATTACTAATTCCAATATAAAATTATTCCTTTTAGAATTGAGTAACTACAGGCTAATACTGACATTATATAAGCCTTGGGTATTGAGAAGAGTTGGATTTTGGAACCAGTCAGTTCTGAATTCAGATTCTGGTTCTGCCACTTACTTGCTGTTTGCCTTGGGGAGATATCTTTTAGTACCCTCCTATGCAAATTGGGAGTCTTAACTACTTTTTAGGGTTTGTTATGGATTTTAAAGTATAAATAATGTCTAGTATAGTGCTTGACAGAGTAGGCAAAGTGGTAGCTGTTATTATTATAAATGTTAAACGAATATTTTGAGAACATCTCTGTATGTTTGAACTGTTTGAACACTTTAGAGACCAAGGAGAAGAGCTTTCTTTCTTCTAATCCTAAATTTTTTTTAATTGTCATTATTAGCACTTAGTTTAAAAGTCTTACAGTACAAGAGCTAGCGCCATGCTGGCATTTAATTATCTAGCCTTAGTGAACATACCACTTTACTGAATCATTCAGGATCACTGCTTGTGTGTTGTTTTACTTGGGTTAAAGCATGTTTGAATGCTTCTGAGACTACTGCCCAAATTGCTAAAACTGTCCTCTGGTTATTTTTAGTCATTGAGTTCAACTGAAAATTGGTCTTAATGTTCTTTATGCAACATGTGAATGTTTTATTATAAAGCGGAAGAATCTTTTTTATATCATTAGAAGTTTAGGATACAATTCTTTTTAAACTTTAGATTTTCTTCCCCACATTTCTTTCCCTAATCACTTAATCTTCTGTGTGTAGCAATCTGTTTTACATGTTTCTTGTTTTAGTCCAAAGTTTGCTGAGAAATAATGTTGCAAAACTCTCATCACTTAACTCTAGCATTAGAATACAGTTTAATCTACAAGCACTAATTTTTTTAACATTAAATCTCTGTAACTCTTACCAATCTTTAACCATTTATTTACAAAAAAATTTAATCATGCCATGCAAATGCAATTTGATTATAATTTTACTTCATTTATTTCCCTATACTTTTTTGTAGGTTTAAAATATCTTGCAGGTTTTTTTGTATGTTTTTAGTTTAAAAAGCACAATATAAAATGGGACCATCTCAAATACATTTTCAGTCAGTCTGCCAGTATTTATTTTTTACCTCTGTACCAGTGGTTCTCAACTGATGGCGATTTTGCCCCCCTAGGACATTTGGCAATGTCTGGAGACATTTTTGGGTATCACAAATGGGGAGGGCTGGGATGGCACTAGTATATAGTGACTAGAAGCCAGGGATACTGCTAAACATCCTACAGTGCACAGGGCAATTTCCCACAACTATTTTCCAGCTCAAAAATTTGATTAGTGCATGGTTGAGAAACCCTGGTCTGTGCCAGGTCTGTTTCTGTCATAGTTTCCCTGATTTCTACCGTTATAGTTCTTCCTTTCATTTTATTCTGTAAAATGCCTTCAGTGACTATATTGATAAGTATTATATAAATTTCTAGTTGAAATAATTTAAAATTAAGCACGTGCATAATCAGAAAACTCTCTTCCATTATGGTTTACCATGGGATATTGAATATAGTTCCCTGTGCTATACATTAGGATATCAACTATACTTCAATTTTTAAAAACAGCAAAAAAAATTTTTTTATTATGAAAAATTTTCAAACATTAAAAAAAAAAGAAAACCAAAATGTTACGGTTTTCCTCCTTTCCATGTAACACTATACTTCTACCTTGTCCTGGGAAAATGATTTGATACTTAATAAATGTTGTGTAAAATTTTCACTTAATATGTTTTTCTACTTCTTGGGGGAAAAAAAGGAAAAATTTCTGTTTTGTGAAGATCAATTAGTTTTCTTTCAGGAAACAAATATCTTTCAGCTGCCTATCCCTATAATAGTTTTTCCGAAAGTTGCCGTATCTTAAGTCACCAGGGACACTTGTTAAAAAGTCTGATAATTAGACCCTTCTTTCCTTTAAAGATTCTGATTCAGGAGAACTAGAATGAATCCCAGGATTCTGTTTTTTAATAGGCACCCAAGGTGATTCCTATGATTAGACAAGTTTGATAACAAAAGACTTCATTTGCAGAAGTCAGGGAGCAGAGCAAGGATGAATATTCCTAACAAGTTTTAAACATTCTCAATAAGTGTTACTGCTTCTACAATTGGTTGTTAGGGTTGTTTTAAAAAATACTGTAAATGTTATTTTTATGATACCCAAAATGTTAATTAACTTGCTAATATGCTGCCTTTTGTCTTTTTTGTTTGTTTTTTTAAAGCTCTTTGGTGTGTTTTGGGCTGCCTACAGTGCTGCTTCATTGTTAGTGGGTGAAGAATTCAAGACCAAAAAGCCTCTCCTGATTTATCCAATCTTTTTATTATACATTTATTTTTTGTCCTTATATACTGGGGTGTGATCTAAGTCATATATGAGTAGAAAAAGACAATGTTACCTTTCTGTGTAGGCTGGGAATTCTTGCTTGAGGGGATTGAAAAAAACGTATTGCTGGTAAAATTTTACATGTTCCAGATGTAAAGGCAATCTAAGGTCTTTTTAAAACAATATTTTTTTTGTATTTAATTAAGCAATTGCAGTTACCTGAATATTTTTGGTCAGAATTCTGAATTCTGTTTGATTCATCATATTCCAGTGAATAAAATATAAAAGTATTGTGTTTTTAAGATTGTGTCAATATTCTCCTAAAAACTTGTGCCAAAAGCACCTGGAATGGTAATTATATTTCACTTGAAGGGTAAATATGACAGCATCCTGATAATCCAAAAGTGCAATTTTTTTCTTTAAAGGGTTTTCTCCTGCATTGCAGATCCTGTAGATATATATTTATATTTATATATATATTTATGAAGTAATTCTTATTATTCACAAAATGTATTTCTGAATAACCTAAAAATTAAGATATTTAAATCTGATGCTTAAACTTTATTTAATTTGGCCATTAATCTTTTTATTTATAAATTTAATTTTGCTTTTAAATTATATATAATTAAAAAAATCTCATACATGCTTCAGTCAGTATGTCCTTGTTAAGAATTCTTAATAATAACAATTGAAACTAATAACAGTTGCTGGTGTAGATTTGGTTGGTTTGGGTGTGCTTTTAAAAACCACTTTTGAATGTCTAAACATTTGATTTAAAGTTTCTGTTTATCTTTCTGACCAAAAAAGCAAGAGGTATGATGGATATGGCATTCATTAAAATTGTCAATATGTAGAAAAACAGTAATATTTATAGCATCAGTAAATATTTTTAAGTGGTACTCCGAAGTCATAAAAGTTGCTGGAAAGAGACCATTAGAGTCTTGTGGTCCTGAACAATGTTATATGAAGTAGAAGAAAATAAAATGCTTCCCAGCTGTGTGTTTTGTTTTTATAACACCTTGTCCTGTATTACTTGATATTTTAACAAGTATCAGGTACTCTTTAACAAGAATACAATAATATTTACAAAGGGAAGTATTAAATTTTAACTAAACTTTTTTTGGCAAATAATTTCATAGACTGTAGATGTACGTTTAATCTTAGTTTGTACAGTAGATAAAATAATTTATATCGATAAAATAGCAAATGCCTAATAACCATTAGCATATTATTATATTATCCTTTCTGGTCTCAGCTGGAAGAGTTAACTGCTGTCTTCAATATGGTAATGTGGCCACCTCTTGGTATGTATTCCTTTAGCAACCTGATCTGTCAGGAAATATCCAGCAACTCTGAAGTAAGCCTACAGATTAGCAAAATATCAAGCCCATCTCTCTTCTATTTCCCTTCTCCCCTCCCCCACCTGAAAAAGGAAAAAAAACAGCTTATTTTAAGGAAAACTATGGAGCTACCTTTGGGCCAGAATAATGTGGAAAAATTACATAATGCTGGTTATTTAAATAAGTTTAGGAAAGCAGATTAGAAGCAACAGGATAGAACCTCTAGAACCTAAAATAATATGGAATAGTGAGGAAGGATCTACAGCTACAGAAGCAGCAACTGTAAAATGAACATTTGTCATACTTCAGGAGTTTCTGAGATCAGTACTTTGTTATAGTAGATTATTATATTTGATGGTCATAGTGTTGACCCTGAAATCTTCCTCAGAAAGCTTAGGGGTCCACACCCGGCAGTAAAATTTTACTAAGCAATAAGTCAAGGCATTTTAGGACCAACTCCATCAAAAAGATGGTTTAAAAAATTTTTAAGCTATCATTTCTTTAAGATGTGAATAAAAAGTTCACTTATATGAATCACGTTTATTCCTGATGATGTAAGATAAAATGAGATATTTGTGTTCTAAAAATAACAGCATTTAATCTTGGGACCTGTCCAATTTAGGATATATATAAATACAATTTATAATGTTTTAAGCTCAGCCAATGTCTTCATGTGCTAATGAGCAAAGCAGTTAAAACAGATTGTTAGTTTGAAAACATGACTTGTAAATGTGTGCAAGATACAGTACTGGTACAGCTAATAATGGTAAGCTGACTACAATGTCCTCTCCTTGAATTTATATATAATAATATTTTATGTCATATTGATTTTAAATCATGATTTCCAACCTAATTATTAGTTCATTAGTATTTTTAAAACAATTACCCAGATAGCCTCTTCTAGGTGTCTGTGTGTGCATATACATGTTTTAAGTGTTTTCAGTTGTAGTAGTCCTGATGAATGTTAATCCTCAAAAAAAAAAAAAGAAAAGAATTATGAGACATTTACTTCTGTTTTAAATTGATTATAAAATAACTGAAATTTTGAATATAAATCAAAGTCTATATATAATTTTCTTTGTATTAAAATACAGTTTAGGGAGATTTGTAAAGTTTTATGAACCATTACTAAACCTGCTAATTTCTAAGGTCTATAAGACAGTTTTATATATATCTATTTCCAAAAATTCCCCCAATATTAATATATTAATATTCTAAATTAGTGAAAATTTGCATTGACTTAAAATGTGAGGTAGATATTTTTGTTCAAATATTGTTTAAAATTTAGTTCATTTAAAAAATTCTGATGTAATAAAACATTGAATAAAAGAATGCTTCTACAAACAATAAAAACAATATTTTTCATATTCAACAGAACAGTATTTTAAAATGATTGTTATTTATTTATCTTTTACATTTTCAGTAGTGCATATTTTAGCTAGTGTTAGGCTTCAGGAAATTGTGACACGTTTGTTAAGTTTTGTTAAAATGTCTTACTTCCATACAGTTTTTTTTGGTAATTGAACAAATTGGTTTTCTTGTTTTGTTCTTTGCAGCAGAGGAGAACAACACACATCATGGGGAACCAACCATAGGGTGTCTCAGAGTGTTTAAAAGGCCCTATTACAGGATTTAGGCTTGTGTTAATACAATTCATGGCAGTCTGAAATAAGTCTTAATAGAGCCAAAAATCACCCTCAGGTATTCTCTTCTCTGAAATTTTAGTCACATAAACAATATAAGTGTTTTATTATCTTTCATAAAAGGTTTCTTTAACTGAACCCTGTACCTAGTAGTACATTTTAATTTCCCTTTAGAAACTGAATTACAAGTACTCTATTCCTCATTTGTTTAATCTCCTGACAGTACTTTGTGTGTTTGAGAATCTGTTGTCACTTTTCAAATAAATTCCAAAATATGATTTTTGACATTAGTAAAGACTAGACATTCTTATATCTTTGCACTAGAAATCATTATATTTTCTGAAGAAAGTCTGCTTGTGAATACATTTTATTTATAACAAACTTTCTTCCTGTACATTTTCTTTATAACAATTTTAGACCCTACTGTGTCTTATGGGGTATAGTGGTCTGAAGAGAAATGGTTAAGAGAATACTTATTCCCTGGTGCAAAGCATATATTATTGCAGCTTAGGGTTAGGTTGCTCATTTGAAATTCTTTTGATATGCTGAGGTTGCAGTTTGGAGATTAATTTAAGGAAAGAATGTCAGGATGATTAAGATGGCATTAGTAAAATAATTTCCTATTTTACATTTTGTATTAGTAGTAACCATGGTTTCAACTTTTCTAATTTTCAGCAAGATATCCACAAGTTTTTACTTTGAAGATACTTAATTTGAAATTTGCAAGTGCTTGGAAAAAATTCCTGATACATCCCTTCTGAAAAGTTCGATGATATACTAATGCTGTCACTGAGATTTAAGTTAGATATTAATATGAAAAAAATTTTAATGAAATATTTTGAATTTACTTGTAATTAGAGTATATGAAGGTTATTAATGCCTATGGGGTAGGGAAAGTAAGCTTTCCTACCTGTAATAATTTTGTTAACACTTGGAATATAAGTAAATTAGATTTATCAGGAGTAGAAACCTTAGTTTTTCTATAATAGTTGCCACTGAGCTGTTTTTATTAAAAATCAAACAAGCAAAAATATCTTACCAAAGTACTTATACAGGATCAAATGAAATTACACAGAATGACTGGTTATGGGAGAAATTTGTCATCTGGTAATAAAGAGAAAAAGCTAATATAAAAGTAGATTGGTGCTATTCACAAATAAGTGCTCACTGATGAAGATAAATGATTGAAATTCTACATTTTTCTTGGTTTTATAGTGATTCTTTTGTGGAATTAATCAGTTGCTATTTAAATATCACTTAAATTGTGTGCACCATTTGATAATGAAACAACCCATATGTTTTGTAATCCTTATGCTGAATTACACTCTGATAATTTAGTGTCTCCATAGAAAACAGTGAAAATATTCTTGATGATGATGGGCCTAGGTACTAAGTCCCTCATACTCCATCTTCTTTGCTAAATGGGACTTAGGAAACTCTTTAGCCTAATACAAATTTATTTTCCAAGGATGGTACTGGTGATGGCCCCAAGAATGAAACGTTCAGAAGAAACAGCATTTGAATTGGGTAACTTGAATGTGAAGAGATAGTAGATATTCATCAGCTATTAATTGACCCTTTTCTATGTGCCAGGTACTACACTAGGTGCAGGAATACAATGATGTGCAACAAAGACCACACATGCACCCTGATGAGCCAGTATTTTTTGAAAGATAGACAATTAGTTTAACAAAGTGTAAAACAGTTGCAACAAATGGAGAAAGGCCTGTGGTGGCAAGAGAGTGTATAACAGAGGAATTAGACAAGAAAAGCCTTGCTGAGGCAATGATGCTTAAGCTGAAATCCTTAGGGATAAGTAAAAGCTAACTAAGCAGAGAAGGGAGGGAAGACTGTTACAGATAGAGGGAATAGCAGGTGAGTAGAAGGAAATGAAAACTCGTTTGGCTGAAGTTCAGTTGTTTGTGAAATCGAGCAGGTATATTGGTACCATACCATACCTGACATTCTAAGCCATGTTTTCTTTGTCAGAGCTTTTGATTAGAAATACGGTATCTGAAACATGTGCTTTTAAAACTAAGGCCAAGGTCTGCAATTCTACTCTTGATATATCCCAACAGAAATGCATGTACATATGCTACAAAAGACATGTGCAGAGTAACATGAAAAATTGGACATAGCATATCCATCAACATAAAATGGTACAATTATATGGTGGAATCTTATGCAATGAAAATGAATAGTCTTGTGCAAGAAAGTGACCACCAAAAAGTCTTAATGCTTATCCCTAATTGGGAGGGAGAAGAGTTGTATTTGGAAAGACTCTTGAGGGACGTTAATGGGTGGTTTTTAATGATGTATTAAGCTGTATGTTTCATGTACTTTTCTGTATGTGTGTTACAGTGCATCCTTACATTGTTATAATTGTTTTAACGTAGTTAAATTGCCACTTTGCATTTTACTTTTTCATGTATTATTATGCCATAGCCATCTTCATGTCATACAAACTTCATAACCATTTCTTCAGAGAAATCTTCCCTGAATCTTGTAACTGTCCAACCATGTGCCTCAGTTTATCTCTATTACATCATGGCTTATTTCATTTGTAGTACTACTACTCTTGGTGTCTTGGTTTTGTTTTTATTTTTTTCATTCGTCCACTGTAATGTAAGCTCCATTGGGGCAGGGACATTTTCTGACACGTTCATCAGTGTATCCTCAGTACTTTTGTTGAATGAATACATGAACCTGGTCATTGAATCCCGAAATCAAATTCGGATCCAGTGAATTTCAAAACCAATAGCTTAATTATAGTCTTTCATAGATTGTTAAAGTTAGGCAAAACTCTAGAGATCACTAATGAGTGTAATCCTACGTCACTATACAGATGAGGAAACTAAAGCCTAAGGAAGGCTTGTCTAAAGTAACACTGTTGACCGGCAGAGTTGGAATAAGAGCTTATGTCTTCAAACCCTAAGTCTAGTGCTCTTTCCATTACAATGTGGAACAACAGTGTTGACAGTTAAGAGAGCAACATAGAAAGTTGCCTTCTGCTCTAATCCATCATATAGATTATTGAAACACCCTTTCTTTCTCTTTACTTTTTGACCTTTTCCATTCCACTTTTAAAAATCCACTATTGGGCTTCCCTGGCGGCGCAGTGGTTGAGAGTCCGCCTGCCGATGCAGGGGACACGGGTTCGTGCCCCGGTCCAGGAAGATCCCACATGCCGCGGAGCGGCTGGGCCCGTGAGCCGTGGCCGCTGAGCCTGCGTGTCCGGAGCCTGTGCTCCGCAGCGGGAGGCGCCGCAGCAGTGAGAGGCCCGCGTACCACACACACACACACAAAAAATCCACTATTAGCTCTAGGCTTACAAGTACTACACAATAATATTAAATAATTAAGGTTCAAAGGGCTGTTGTGAGGTTTAAGCGATCTAGTTAATATAAAGCATATAGAATCAGCCTAGTATTTAGTAAATAGCAGCTATTAAGCTGAAGTCATTTACATCAATGAAACAAGAGGGTTTCCAGAAACATACTCAATTATATATAGGAAGTTAGTATGTTAGAAGTTAGAGGTAGTGTGCCAAATTGGTATAAAAAGATGGATTATTAAGTAAGTGAGATATTGCATCAATAAGAATGTATTTGTTTGCAAGAAACAACCCTATGATCAATGGCTTCAGTAAATAGGAGTTTATTTTTCTCATAAGTAATCCAAGGGTGTATAATACAGGACTAATATGGCAGCTTAATGTCATCAAGGACTCAGGCTCCTTTTATCTTTTTACTCTGCCATTTTTGGTGAGCGGCTTTCATCCTTGTCTCAAGATAGCTGCTTCACCTCTAGGTATTACATCTAGATTCCAAGCAGGAAGAAAGGTGAAGGTCAAATGGAGCATGTCAGTCAAAATTGCCTTTATTTAAAAATCTGTCTGGAAGCCACATTCAGTGACTTCCCCTTATATCTCAGGACAGATCTGAATCACTTGGCCACCCCTTGCTGCAAGAGAGTCTGGGAAAGTATTTTAAGCTGGGCACAGTTGCTGCCCTAAACAAAGTCATATTGTGTTAGTAAGGAAGAATGGATGCCAGGTAGGTAACTAGCAGTGTCTAACAAAAACATTATAGGCCACTTAGAAAAATACAAGGCTAGATCTGTACTTCTTATGCCAAAGTAAATTACAGATATATCAAATATTTTAAAAACAAAGTCAGAAAAAAACAGGAATTTTTCATATACTCTGAGAAGATAAGGCTCTCAAAGCATGACATAAAATACAAAAGCCAAAAAAGAAGAGATTAAGAAACTTGATTACATATCATTTAAAACAATTCTATAGGAAAAAGATGAACTACAAATTGGAGGGAAATATTTGTAAG